TTTGTAATGAATTTATTTGCAAATGATGGTGGAAAATAAGTATTTGGTCAATAACAAAAGTTTCTCAATACTTTGTTATATACCCTTTGTTGGCAATGACACAGGTCAAACGTTTTCTGTAAGTCTTCACAAGGTTTTCACACACTGTTGCTGGTATTTTGGCCCATTCCTCCATGCAGATCTCCTCTACAGCAGTGATGTTTTGGGGCTGTCGCTGGGCAACACAGACTTTCAACTCCCTCCAAAGATTTTCTATGGGGTTGAGATCTGGAGACTGGCTAGGCCACTCCAGGACCTTGAAATGCTTCTTACGAAGCCACTCCTTCGTTGCCCGGGCGGTGTGTTTGGGATCATTGTCATGCTGAAAGACCCAGCCACGTTTCATCTTCAATGCCCTTGCTGATGGAAGGAGGTTTTCACTCAAAATCTCACGATACATGGCCCCATTCATTCTTTCCTTTACACGGATCAGTCGTCCTGGTCCCTTTGCAGAAAAACAGCCCCAAAGCATGATGTTTCCACCCCCATGCTTCACAGTAGGTATGGTGTTCTTTGGATGCAACTCAGCATTATCTGTCCTCCAAACACGACGAGTTGAGTTTTTACCAAAAAGTTCTATTTTGGTTTCATCTGACCCCCCAATCCTCTTCTGGATCATCCAAATGCACTCTAGCAAACTTCAGACGGGCCTGGACATGTACTGGCTTAAGCAGGGGGACACGTCTGGCACTGCAGGATTTGAGTCCCTGGCGGCGTAGTGTGTTACTGATGGTAGGCTTTTTTACTTTGGTCCCAGCTCTCTGCAGGTCATTCACTAGGTCCCCCCGTGTGGTTCTGGGATTTTTGCTCACCGTTCTTGTGATCATTTTGACACCACGGGGTGAGATCTTGCGTGGAGCCCCAGATCGAGGGAGATTATCAGTGGTCTTGTATGTCTTCCATTTCCTAATAATTGCTCCCACAGTTGATTTCTTCAAACCAAGCTGCTTACCTATTGCAGATTCAGTCTTCCCAGCCTGGTGCAGGTCTACAATTTTGTTTCTGGTGTCCTTTGACAGCTCTTTGGTCTTGGCCATAGTGGAGTTTGGAGTGTGACTGTTTGAGGTTGTGCACAGATGTCTTTTATACTGATAACAAGTTCAAACAGGTGCCATTAATACAGGCAACAAGTGGAGGACAGAGGAGCATCTTAAAGAAGAAGTTACAGGTCTGTGAGAGCCAGAAATCTTGCTTGTTTGTAGGTGACCAAATACTTATTTTCCCACCATAATTGGCAAATAAATTCATAAAAATCCTACAATGTATTTTCAGATTTTTTTTTCCTCAATTTGTCTGTCATAGTTGACATGTACCTATGGTTGAAAATTACAGGCCTCTCTACATCTTTTTAAGTGGGAGAACTTGCACAATTGGTGCTGACTAAATACTTTTTTCCCCACTGTATATACTCTAACTTCTGGACACGTATGCTTTATTAGCACTTATAGTTATTACTGTGTTATTTGTTATTAGTCCCCCCTTCAACTCTATTCAATAGGTCCCCGTCTCTTAAACCATTCTTTGATCTTTTGATTATCATTCAATCGTATGGAGTTTATCAGTTCTACATTTCTATTATTGCTTCTACAGTTGAATTTAAAAATAAACATTTTTGCTAAAAGTATTATTATATCATTGATTGATTTGACCATGACTTTTCAGATCACCCAGTAATGCTATCTGCAAGGTTAGCTCCAGGTAAATATTGCAATCCTTTAGCCATTCCTGGACCTGTGTCCAAAAACAAGCTACAAATGGACAGAACCAAAACAAATGATCTAATGATTCTGTCTCTTCACAGCAAAATCTGCAGAGCTGGGAAGATTGTATCCCCCATATAAATAACATTCTATTGGTAGCAAGAATTTTATATAATAATTTAAATTGAAAGATTCTAATTTTTTAATCCGGTGTCGTTTTGCGCGTCAGTTCATAAACACTATGTCATGGGATCGGTACGTCAAAGATCTCTTCCCAACTATTTTGCAATCTATATGGGACGGCTGTCAATCCTTTGGTCCTTAAGTGAAACTGATATACTTTTTTATTTATCACAGTTTTCCTTAACCAATTATGTTCTTTAATGCAAGGCCGACAGACAAGTTCCTTACTTTCTCCCCCTTCCACTTTCCTCTTCCACTTTTGCGGTAAGGCTGCAATTATTTGGTTGTAATTTTGGGTAGAGCAGACATTTCCATATGTTTTTGTTAGCTGCATGTGCGACATAACTCCACCAGTCCTACCGATGATATCATTTACGAAGATTATACCTTTTTTAAACATTCTGTCAAAAAATTAAGGTTTTTTGTCAATTAGTATATTTGAATTTAACCACAATATTTGTTGCATTATTTGTTCTGTCGTTTCTGGAGGATTAAATTGAAATTTCAACCAACTTTCTATGGCTTGTTTTAGAAATAGTGATATTTGGGAGATGATTTCTTTTTCAAATAACTGCAAATGAGTTGTTGTAATCTGAATAAAGGGATAAAGGCCTTTCTTGAACATTGGGTGAAACAATCTTACTAATTTGCTTGAGAACCAGTTCAGGTTTAAGTATAACTTTTGTATGACTGAAGCTATCCCTTCTTTCTTTTTCTTTCCAAAACACTTGAGCATGCTGTCTCTGACCAACTCTCTCGCTATCTCTCTCAGAATGATCTTCTTGACTCTAACCAGTCAGGCTTCAAGACTGGTCACTCAAACGAGACTGCTCTTCTCTGTGTCACGGAGGCTCTGCACTGCCAAAGCTGACTCTCTCTCCTCTGTTCTCATCCTCCTAGATCTATCCACTGCCTTCGACACCATGAACCATCAGATCCTCCTCTCCACCCTCTCAGGGCTGGGCGTCTCAGGCTCTGCACACTGTTGGATTGCATCCTACCTGGTAGGCCGCTCCTACCAGGTGACGTGGAGAGGATCTGTGTCTGAACCACGTAGTCTCACTACTGGTGTCCCCCAGGATTCGGTTCTAGACCCTCTCCTCTTCTCTCTATACACCAAATCACTCGGCTCCATCATATCCTCACATGGCCACTCCTATAATTGCAATGCGGATGACACTCAAATACTTTTCTACTTCAGCCCTTCTGACACCCAGGTGGCGACACGCATCTCTGCGTGCCTGGCAGATATCTCAACTTGGATGTCGGCCCACCACCTCAAGCTCAACTTCGAAAAGACAAAAGCTGCTCTTCCTCCCAGGGAAGGCCTGCCCACTCCAAGACCTCTCCATCACGGTTGACAACTCCATGGTGTCCCCCTCCCAGAGTGCAAAGAACCTTGGCATGACCCTGGACAACACCCTGTCGTTCTCTGAAAACAACTGCAGGTTCATGCTCTACAACAACCGTGTGCGAGAGTGCGACCCTACCTCATACAGAAAGCGTGCAGGTCTGAATCCAGGCACTTGTTTGGACTACTGCAACTCACTGTTGGCTGGGCTCCCTGCTTGTGCCATCAAACCCCTGCAACTTATCCAGAATGCTGAAGCCTGCCTGGTGTTCAACCTTCCCAAGTCACCCCGCTCCTCCGCACATTCCACTGGCTTCCAGTCGAAGCTCGCATCCTCTACAAGACCATGATACTTGCCTACGGAGCAGAAAGATGAACTGCCCCTCCCTACCTTCAAGCTATACTCAAACCCTACACCCCAACCCGAGCATTCCGTTCTGTCACCTCTGGTCTCTTGGCCCTCCCACCCCTACGGGAGCTGCCAGCTCCCACTCAGCCAGGTCCAAGTTATTCTCTGTCCTGGCACCCCAATAGTGGAACCAGCTTCCCCCTGAAGCTACGACAGAAGAGTCCCTGCCCATCTTCCGAAAACATCTGAAACCCTACCTCTTCAAAGCCTACAGTATTTTAAATAATCCCACAGATTAATCCCAAACGGTCCATTATAAATCGCAATCTGGGTCAGGTGGGCATGATTTTGGAAGCTTGTTCCATTGCCAACATGACTAGCTAAGTTATAAAATACTATCTTAAAGTGATAGGCTTTCACAAGGCAATTCACAGAAACAGATGGTGCGCATAGAAAGGAGTTATGACTCCATTCAGGTGTGTGTGCTGCTGTGAATTTTCTTCACAATAAACAAACATCGGCTCATTCTGTTAAGAACAACCCAGGGTATGATGCCATGCCACCTTGCAACTGTACATCAAACATGGTGATCATAAACTTTGACACTGTATATGACATGAGTTTTATGATTTGGAAATGTGAATTACACATTTGGACCTTATGGGTGTTTGACTTCCTTCTATGACATCAAAGCAGTATTTATTATAATCCCCATCTTTCAAAATACATTGAGTCATCTTAATTTACAGCATTTCCCTCACTCAGACAACAAAACATTAGCAAAATTTGCCCAATTACGGGGAGGGATGGGGGCAACTTCTTGTTGCGCACAGTGCTCAAATTCAGAACAGCTGTCAGTGAAAACCCATATAGTGCTGTGAAGCGCAGAGCCAGAGCTCTGACGTCATGTATAGCATGTTACTACGTTCCAATTTAGCCGCATATCAGTGCCCAAATCTGCCATTTTCAACCCGTATTCGGGTACGAGTGTAAAGGGTTACTGAATCAATGGGTATATATCATTAAGTCCAAATATGGATGTAGCAACTGCAGATTGCCCCTTTAAATGATGATCAATTATTATAATGCTTTTCAAAGATTGTACACGCTGGAATCCTCATTTATGTATGTACACCACTTATAGTTGACTTATGCTTCATCTATGATCATGAAAAATAAGAGAACACAGAAAAACAAAAAGCACACATTATTATGTTGAAGGGTTGATAAACCCAGACCTCAATAAATAGTTCAAGGCATACTGTCGGATGTGGTCTGCAATTTATGCAACATCCAGAGAATACTGTTGTGTTAAAAATACAACAATTATTACACGTATAAGGCTCATTTGAGTCTGCGATTAGAAAGATTGTACCTGGCTGAATATGGACCCTCCTCCTGCTTGCTGGGCAACAGGGTGAAGTCCTGTGGGACAGGGGAGTTTGTTGTTACCAGCATACTGCAGACTGGAGATATCTGGAGACAAAACAACAAATGATCATAGTGTATTTGTTTTGTTCTGGTAATTTTGAAATTGTAAATGAAACAAATGATAAATTACATAAGAAACAAAGATTCTGGGATTTATTTTCTGAGAGTTGGTGCAAAACATCAATCCAAAATAACTGCTGAAGATTTACTTTATTTATCCCATCACCATGACCACTCTTTGAAAGAAAAAGTTATTATTTATGTTAGAACAATGATTCTTAATGTTATGTAAATGTTTTATAAATCCTTTTTCCTTTAATTGTTTTATTTATCATTTAGCTGGTTTTGATTTTAACACAACATTTAATGAATAACCCCACATAAACTGTAAGTATAATCTGATTTTAATAGCTGACCTTGCATGGAGGTGAGGAGGAAGATGGCTCCACCCTTAAGGAAGCCTTTGTCCTTGATGTCCTTAAAGGACATAAAATAGCCGTAGCCCCATCCGTTGGTCGCGTAGATTGATTCATTGCCCTCTTGTTTGTAAAAGGTTCCATTTTTGCGAGGGTTGTCCCAAAATAAATACTTTTCACCATTTTCTGTAAAATCATGTAAACACACATAATGAATGCAAAAAGGAAATACTTAAGGTTGTTTATGATGATATAATATGTTCATTTGAAACTGCACAGAAAATATCTCATGGGAATACAATTTCCTTCAAATAATGTAAAGCTGTTTGACTCACTATAGTCAATCTGTTCAGGATCAGTTGAGATGCTATTCTGCTTGGACAAACGTAGCTGGATGTTTGGGTTCTGATCCATCAGCAGAAACGTTATCTGTCTCCATGGGCAGGGCCACTGGAGCTGGTCATCATATTTACCAGACAAGAGGCGCGCATAGACTCCAATATAACTTGATCGCAGAACAACCAACAGCTGATAGGCATAACCGTCTCTTGAGTAGTGTCTTGGACTGAATAGCCAGGTGTTTTTTGCAACATTCTCAAAGTCTCTAATCTGCCAGGTGTGATGGGGGCATTCTGTCTCTGACAGATTGATGTCATCGATGGAAAACCCACCTGTAGACTGTCCTGCTCCTTTACGCACCTCAAACTCCACCTGGAAGGTTTTGGTGGCATTCAGAGGCACGTGGTGGAGCTGCCAGTAAGATGCTGGTAGGCCTGTGAAGAAGAGCAATACTTTATGATTTCACACCAGACAGGGTGAAGGTTTACCCAATATTGACGTGGCGTTTTGTAAATTCATTTGGACACATCAAATCAATGCCCATATTTTTCCATTCTCTAATTTCTTAGGAGGATCGCTTGCAATAATGTTTCTCTCTGTAACATTGAGCCAGTATCTTACAATTGGACACAGCTATATATACTACATCTCCCTATGTAAAAAAACCATATATTTTACGATGAGATCATATGTTCAGGGACTAGATGACATCATCACCTGTTATCTGGCCCATGAGTCGGGGAGTTCCTTTGAGGTTGTCGTCATCATCATACTCTTTGATCCAGATGTTGAGTAGGTCCTGGTCGCCCCCACTGTAGTAGTAAAAGAACTGCAGGCATTGAAACTGCCTCCGTGGTGTCTTCCTCACGCTCTCCATTGTGGCCCCGTCTCCCTCTTTACCAGTAGCTGTACTGTAGTGCATGAAGAAGCCACCATCTGTAAAATAGTATACATGGAGGATGACTGTAAAGATACACTACCTTCCTCCCTCTGTGTAAATACTTCCATGAAAATGTATATATACATATTATTTAAAGGGGCAATCCATAGTTGCTACATCCATTTTTGGACTTATAAATTAATGATATGTACCCATTGATTCTTGAAGAAAATAACTTATAAATGCCTCATGAGCTTAGTTCAACTGTCGTACCTCATCAGGACCCAAAATATAAGCGTGTTATACTCCAATGTTTGCAAACAAAGTACATTTACATTTACGTCATTTAGCAGACGCTCTTATCCAGAGCGACTTACAAATTGGTGCATTCACCTAGATGTAAACAAACATTAAATAGCCTCAAAACATGGTCAAAACAATTATTTTGACATCATGGATGGTCAGTCCTTGCATCCATAGCTCTGTCTATGAATTTGAGAGTGGGCACATTTCTCCAGCCCCATCCCTCAGCTTTTTACCGAAACAGGGGTGTGGAGAACGCTTTGTTATTGTTTCAACTGCTGATTGCCGCTTTAATAAATGGTTTATAAAGGTCATATAAGTTGATAATAAACTTCTACAAGTACATCTTCTGATTTCTGTTATAGTATCTCTGCAATGCTAAAGCTTATCTGTCCTTGACTGAGTACGGTAACTCACCCCTCTCAGTGGTTGACATGTTAGTAGCAGAAGTAGGGGCAGTCTCTGTAAAAATAACAAATGAATAATATATTGAGCAAAATATGTATGTTGTAAATAAAACACCATACAATTTGTATATGGTCAGTATACATACCATTTTGAAACGTGGTACTGTTATCCACAGACACTGGATCAGTATCTGTCAGAAATAAAAATCTATGTATGAGAGGGACCCATGAACACTGGTGTCAACTTCGTAATATCAATGACATCAGGGGGAAATTAGGTTCTGGCCTATTGTATGTGATTCTGAATCTGATCAGCAGCATCAGCCATGAGGCTTTAATCATGCAACATGGTTTGGTGAGTTTTGAGCCTGTAAAACATAAGATGTACTGTACTTGCCATTGGAGAGAGAATAATTGTTTTCAGGGATGAGTGTTGGCCAGACTTCTAACCATAGAAACACAGATAACTGCCAGTCTGCCAGCACCTAACGTATCAATGTTTAACTCCTTATATCATGTGTCAAATTAAAATGAAAAATTAAATGTTAAGTTTTCATGTTTGATTGAAATGAGCCCTAACGATTGTAACATGGAGGCTTACCCCTTAAAGGACCCAGCTTGGTGTGGTCTAAGGTTGGCCCCTCTTGGACACTGCCCACTCTCTCCCAGCTGGCACTGCCACTGGCACAGAGGGTCATACCACACTCCTGGTTGTCCTCAAAGCTGCATGTCTCTAGGAATGTGACCGCAGATGCTGCATAATTGGAACATAGAGATACAAGGGAAGTATTTGCATGGTAGACAAGTAGTGATGCTGGGCAAACACAAATGGATTACTTATAGTGCTTAAGGCACTGGCTAAAGGCACTTTCTGCACTATGTTGTATAACCTCCAAATATCATTATGCACACTATGCACTGTTCTGAGAACCCATTAGCTTCAAATATATTGACTTTGAATGAAACACTGAACCTATGACGTAACACCTCTTAAACTGCTTTACGACATTCCCATCAATGACCAATACAATAAAGGCTATTGACATGCTGCTAATGAAATACATTATTAGCTCACGGTTCTGTTTCATTCTTTCACTGAGCAAAGTTCTATAGCTTACTTACTGCAGTTATACAGCGTGTTTAGTTTTAAGGCGTCATTGGAGCTCATGTCCAGCCGTTGGCCTATTACATCCTGGTATTCTGGTTGCTTAGTGATGATGGTGGATCCGTTGCCATTGGTGAAGTCGTCCTTTCCGTAGTGCATCACCGAGGTGTAGTCATACGGGGTACCTAGGGTGCTGGTTTGACTTGCGCTGCGTTTTTCAAAATTGTGCTCCTTTCCTGAATACAAAAATAATAAGTAGAATTATGCCTTTACTTGACATGGTACTTGTATTGCTGTGTCGATTGTAGTCAAACACTTAATATAGTTTTGATTACATTTTTGCAACTTTGCACTCATTATTTTAGGACAGCAAAGCAGAACAAATAACCTTCTTCAATGTTTTCCCAGACAATGGTTACATGGTCATCCCTGTCATATCTGGACTGCTCATGCCAGAAGCCCAGAGCGTGTAGAAACTCATGCTCTATGATGGCGATATGACCACAGCCAAGTCCAATGGAGAGGCTTTGGTTGCCCCAGCGTTGATTCCCAACATATGAATAACATCTAAAGAGAAAGAAATAAGGAAGCAAAACAGAATGAAAGAAATGAAATAAAATTCTAAATGAGAGATTTTACTTCAGTGGTTCTTCTAACCATTAAGAATTTAGATTTTTCTAATATTAAGGTATTATATTACCCTTCATCCCCTATGATTAAGAGGTAGTTTGGCTCTGCTTCCCGAGGTTTGAAGTCCACACAGGTTTTCAGGCGAATCTGCTCCATTGACCTAAGAATGATCCCTTTGGCATTCATATCTGTAATAGATTGACCAGATTGCTTGAACTATAGGCTATATTATGTAAATTTACATGATTACACATATTTTTCCAATTACTGAATGGCCAAGCATGTTTCACTGTGGTCAAATGTCTTACCAAGACTCTCATCCAAAACATATGGGACAGGGATTTCCCATCTGTACTGGTCACCTAGGATGGTGTTTCTCGCTCTTCCCTATGGAAATAGGCACCATACAGCCATTTCATAATAATTGTTATAATTATGAAAGTGATCATTTTCAAATGGATACAAATATAAAATGTACACATGAATACAACACTGTGTACTTACAGATGGCAACATGATGTCTCCCTCATGGAGATCCAGATCTAAAATATATATAGAGAGAGTGTGTGGAGAGGGCCATCTACTGTATGACAGAGTTACAGTTATCTGTAAAGTCTGGCTTTTTACCTTTGTTTATCTCTGTGATGTCTGGGTATCCTTCTTCTTTTTCACCAGCACCTGTTAAAGTCAGAGTGCAATGTCTGCTATAATTATAGAACCTGATGATACTGTTGTGAATGTGAGTAGGGACACGTTATTGTAGTGTTACAGGATCTAGCTCTGAAAACAAGTAATTAGTCCAACAATTATATGATTGCTCACCGTGAATATGATGAAATCATTGTTGAAATGTTATGTGTTGGAATGTTTCTCATCAGTAATCATTATGTCCTCATTACCAAAACCATTAAAGATAATTCACTCAGGTTTCAATTTCAAATGACACAGTATATTCTGAGGTTTAGCACCCTGTTATGTGCCTGCCCCATAAGTGACTGTTGGTTATATTTTTGGATAAAGTACCTGCTATACCTCCTATTGTTGAAGTTGGCTGTGGACACACGCAGAAACAGAAACAGAAACACATGAACTCATCTCTAGTCTGACTACTATGGTTACCTTTTAAATACATCATATTTGGTTATTATAATTGTGATATTTCAATTAAAACACTATTGGGCAAGCTATACACAGTGATGTGACGTAATGTATCTTACCATAGTCAAAGTGTGCTGGCTAACCACACTCAGCAGGAGAAATGCATACAAAGTCATTCTCGGTGCTGGTTCTTGCCAACTGACAATTCACACTATAACAGTAAAAAAAGACAGAAGAAAAAAGTGTAATTCCCATTCAAAGTCATTCTAATCCTGTATATGAATGGATATTAAATGAATAGTGCTTGAATGAAACATCCAACTCCTTGTGAATATAAAAGATTTGAAGAAGGAAGGACATCAAGATATTAGAGCGATAAAATAAATAGGTAGTATTCACACTTACATGATAGGCCAATGTTAAAGAGATGTGAGGAGAAATGAAGAGATTAAAGCCGCAACACTGACAACAAAATACCAACAGTATACTGCAAAACTTATACCGTCCAGTGGACCTCGGACCTTCCCTGAATACATTACAGATGTAGGATCTTAATTTGATCAGTCTTTTGTTGCTGAGAATTTTCCTGCACCGCAGGAAATGCAGATCAGCTTCATGATTTACATAAATTCACTGCAAACCCACATTAACACATGGTTATATTAAGAGTATTGCACTTTTCATGTTGCCTACTTTTGGCCAGCTAATAGCCTAACCACCGATCAAGCAACATTATGGACTAAACGTTCAAATCCTGTTGCTGCAGGATTATTTTGCTTTGACAATATAGGTCAAATTAAGATCATACATCTGTATGTCTGACTACAGATTGACAGGGAAAAAGTTACAATTTAAAATAATTCACAGCGCAGTCTAATACCTTTTCATGATGATTAACCCACTCAAAGTGTACTTATTGACACATCTTTAAATGGTACAAACGGACATATAAAATTACATATTCTTATAGACTATATTGAAACAGATGCAATCATGATGCATGCAGATGAAACCCCTACAGACAGAATGACTGAATTTATATTTACCTCAGTTTGTAGATGGGTTGATCAACTTCCTCTGTGATGAACTTGGGTCTAATGTAGTGCATGGGACAGACAACCGCATCCGTTGACAATGAACCGCATCTAGAGAAGGGTCACATACAGTGGGGAGAACAAGTATTTGATACACTGCCGATTTTGCAGGTTTTCCTACTTACAAAGCATGTAGAGGTTTGTAATTTTTATCATAGGTACACTTCAACTGTGAGAGACGGAATCTAAAACAAAAATCCAGAAAATCACATTGTATGATTTTTAAATAATTAATTTGCATTTTATTGCATGACATAAGTATTTGATCACCTACCAACCAGTAAGAATTCTGGCTCTCACAGACCTGTTAGGTTTTCTTTAAGAAGCCCTCCTGTTCTCCACTCATTACCTGTATTAACTGCACCTGTTTGAACTCATTACCTGTATAAAAGACACCTGTCCACACACTCAATCAAACAGACTCCAACCTCTCCACAATGGCCAAGACCAGAGAGCTGTGTAAGGAAATCAGGGATAAAATGGTATACCTACACAAGGCTGGGATGGGCTACAGGACAATAGGCAAGCAGCTTGGTGAGAAGGCAACAACTGTTGGTGCAATTATTAGAAAATGGAAGAAGTTCAAGATGACGGTCAATCACCCTCGGTCTGGGGCTCCATGCAAGATCTCACCTCGTGGGGCATCAATGATCATGAGGAAGGTGAGGGATCAGCCCAGAACTACACGGCAGGACCTGGTCAATGACCTGAAGAGAGCTGGGACCACAGTCTCAAAGAAAACCATTAGTAACACACTACGCCGTCATGGATTAAAATCCTGCAGCGCACGCAAGGTCCCCCTGCTCAAGCCAGCGCATGTCCAGACCCATGTTAAGTTTGCCAGTGACCATCTGGATGATTCAGAGGAGGAATGGGAGAAGGTCATGTGGTCTGATGAGACAAAAATAGAGCTTTTTGGTCTAAACTCCACTTGCCGTGTTTGGAGGAAGAAGAAGGATGAGTACAACCCCAAGAACACCATCCCAACCATGAAGCATGGAGGTGGAAACATCATTCTTTGGGGATGCTTTTCTGAAAGGGGACAGGACGACTGCACCGTATTGAGGGGAGGATGGATGGGGCCATGTATCGCGAGATCTTGGCCAACAACCTCCTTCCCTCAGTAAGAGGAATGAAGATGGGTCGTGGCTGGGTCTTCCAGCATGACAACGACCCGAAACACACAGCCAGGGCAACTAAGGAGTGCCTCCGTAAGAAGCATCTCAAGGTCCTGGAGTGGCCAAGCCAGTCTCCAGACCTGAACCCAATAGAAAATCTTTGGAGGGAGCTGAAAGTCCGTATTGCCCAGCGACAGCCCCGAAACCTGAAGGATCTGGAGAAGGTCTGTATGGAGGAGTGGGCCAAAATCCCTGCTGCAGTGTGTGCAAACCTGGTCAAGACCTACAGGAAACGTATGATATCTGTAATTGCAAACAAAGGTTTCTGTACCAAATATTAAGTTCTGCTTTTCTGATGTATCAAATACTTATGTCATGCAATAAAATGCAAATTAATTATTAAAAAATCATACAATGTGATTTTCTGGATTTTTGTTTTAGATTCCGTCTCTCACAGTTGTAGTGTACCTATGATAAAAATTACAGACCTCTACATGCTTTGTAAGTAGGAAAACCTGCAAAATCGGCAGTGTATCAAATACTTGTTCTCCCCACTGTATATGGGAGGGAAAAGGGACACAGCAGACACCACTTTACCGTGAAATGCTTACTTACGAGCCCTTTCCCAACAATGCAGAGTTAAAAAGTATGGAAAATTAGCAAATAAGTAAAAAAGGAAATAGTAACACAATAAAATACCAATAACGAGGCTATATACATGGAGTACCGGTACCAAGTCAATGTGCAGGGGTACGAGGTAGTTGAGGTAATATGTACATGTACAGTGCCTTCAAAAAATATGAATACTCCTTGACTTATTCCACATTTTGTTGTGTTACAGCCTGAATTCAAAATGGATTAAATACATTATTTTTCTTACCCATCTACATAAGTATTCACACCCCTGAGTCAATACTTTGTTTAAGCACCTTTGGCAGCGATTACAGCTGTGAGTCTTTCTAAGTAAGTCTCTAAGAGGGGGGGCTTTGAGTCCAGTGAGTGTGCATAGAGCCAGTGGAAGAGAGTCAGTGCAAAACAAAATAGTCTTGCCATTTGATCAACTGCTCAGCAGTCTTATGGCTTGGGGGTGGAAGCTGTTCAATAGCCTTTTGGTCCTTGACTTGGTGCTCTGGTACCGCTTGCCATGCGGTAGCAGAGAACAGTGGCTGGAATCTTTGACAATTTTTAGGGCCTTCTTCTGACACTGCCTGGTATAGAGGTCCTGGATGGCAGGGAGCTCGGCCCCAGAGATGTACTGGGACATATGCACTACCCTTTGTAGCGCCTTGCGGTCAGATGCCAAGCAGTTGCCATATCAAGTGGTGATGCAGCCAGTCAAGATCTCAATGGTGCAGCTGTATAACTTTTTAAGGATCTGAGGGCCCGTGCCAAATATTTTGGGGCGGTATGCGAATTGGACTGGGTCCAGGAAGATGGTGTTGATGTGAGCCATGACCCGCCTTTCATTGCTACAGATGTGACTGCTGCGGGGAGATAGTCATTTAGACAGATTACCTTGGCGTTCTTGGGCACAGGGACTATGGTGGTCTGCTTGAAACATGTAGGTATTACAGACTGGGTCAGGGAGACGTTGAAAATGTCAGTGAAGACACTTGCCAGCTGGTCAGCACATGCTTTGAGTATGCGTCCTGGTAATCCGTCTGACCTGGATGGAACAGCTAATGCATCATCAGTATTACTAACATCATTATTATCAACTGGTAGCATCAATCAGTGATAATCCAAATTATTCTAATTCTAATTATTGTACTCCATCTCTAGCCCTCATACAAAGCATAAATAAATACATTAAGCCCTAATTTGTGGATTTCACTACTGGGCAGGGACATAGCCATGGGTTGGTCTGGGAGGGCATAGGCCCACCAAGCCAATCAGAATGAGTTTTTCCCCACAAAAAAACTTTATTAGAGACAGAAATACTCCTGTTTCATCAGCTGTCCAGGTGGCTGGTCTCAGACAATCCCGCAGCTGAAGAAACCGGATGTGGAGGTCCTGGGCTGGCGTGGTTACACGTGGTCTGCGGTTGTGAGGCCGGTTGTACATACTAACGAATTCTGTAAAACAGAGGTGGCTTATGGTAGAGAAATGAACATTAAATTCTCTGGCAACAGCCTTGGTGGACATTCCTGCATGCCAATTGTACACTCTCAAAACTTGACATTTGTGGCACTGTTGTGACAAAACTGCACATTTTAGAGTGACCTTTTATTGTCCCCAGTACAAGGTAAAACTGTGTAATGATCATGCTGTTTAATCAGCTTCTTGATATGCCACACCTGTCAGGTGGATGGATTATCTTGGCAAAGGAGAAACTCACTAACAGGGATGTAAACATTTGTGCCCAACTTGAGAGAAATAAGCTTTTTGTGCATATGGAAAACTTCTGGAATCTTCTAATTCAGCTCATGAAACATGAGACCAACTCTTTAAATGTTGCATTTATATTTGTTCATTATACATTTTATATTACCAATTGTCTCAAGAACAGACTACAAATACATGAGTAAAAAGTATTTACAGTGCCTTCAGAAAGTATTTATACCCCTTGACTTATTCCATATTTTGTTGTGATACAGCCCGAATTCAAAATGTCTTAAAATGTATTTTTACAGTCTTTATTTGAAACTAAAACATGACAGAATTTAAGAATAGGCCTATGGTGTAAACTCTGCAGAAAATGCACTAATCACCATTGCTGAGTCAGACAAATTTGCATACACCAACCAACTGCTTGAGTGAAGGAGGCAGCATTGCATAGCAACAGAATACATATCCTTTACCAGTGTAACATGGACGATAACAGGGAGAAATTCAGTGGAGAAAATGTCCTATAATACAACAAAACACCTCAGTGACTATTTAAATATAATATACAAACATATAGTAATAGTTCACTACAGTGTTTTTGTCATACAAGTACAAGATAAAATTCAGATTCAGAGCTTTCAGAATCCCATTGGAAGTACAGACTGGGGGAAATATTGCAATCACTAGTTATTTGTTATGATTATGTATAAGAGAGGTTATCATTACATCAATTGTATATTGAAGCAGTGTATGACAAAGTTTGGTCCTGACTGTAAGGCTTACCATCAAACAGTACACACACACACACACACACACACACACACCACTGGGATGACATTTGGATTGACAATATGCAGGGCAAGAAGATTTACCATAATGATATTACAGAATATAATTTAAGATGTTGCTGGCAATATTTGTAGGTTTTAATGTTGTTCAGTGAATCAACCACAACATAAAAGCCATAACGATGATCGCCGGGGTAGACACCAGTCCAGAGGAGTCAGAAATCCTGGAAGGGGATATAATTTAAGTCACTATAAATGCTTTAAATGATTATCAATGCTTACAAATTCTTAAACGTTTGTGCATGCTCAAATCCACATTTATTAATTAGATTCTTACACGTTTGTGCATGCTCAAATCCAGAAAGATCTTACCTTGGTGAACATGGGCCCTTGTCCTCCTGAATGCTGGGCAACTGGGTGAAGTCCTGTGGTGGTGGACTGGGACAGGGGAGTTTGTTGTTACCGGCATACTGCAGACTGGAGATATCTGGGGACGAAAATAAATATTAAGGAAAGCATTCTGGGATTATTTCTGAGGCAAGTATTGATCCAACGTTAAAATAAAAGGATTATATTATTAGTTTGAGTCAAAATAATTGTTTACCTTCTAAGATAAAATTGTATTAATAACCCCCCTAAACTAAATATGATCTGATTTGAATAATAGCTGACCTTGCATGGTGGTGAGGAAGTAGATGGCTCCACCCTTGAGGAAGCCTTTGTCCTTGATGTCCTTCAAAGAAATACAATTTTCGTAGCCATCTACCTTGGTCGAGTAGATTGACTCAGTGCCCTCTTGTTTGTAAAAGGTTCCAGTTTTGCGAGGGTTGTCCCAATACTTTGCACCATTTTCTGTAAAACCATGTAAACACACTCATGGCAGTAACTAGGGGAGAGTAGGGACAAAAGTAACAGGTGAAAGTAATATGCAAATGTTCTCAGATAACACAGAAGCTAGAATGATTCAGTGAAGTCAGCACATTCTTAATGTGGAAGACGTTCTCTCTAGAAAAAAACTGCCCAGTCCAACCATGTTTTACTGAGTTAAACAAAGTGGTTTTGAGTTTTTTTGTTTTACTCACTGAAGTGTTTTTCGGTTGTGGAGTTAAGTTTAGTTGTTTAACGTTCCAAACATGTAATTTTACATGTTTAGTCATTTAGCAGACGCTCTTATCCAGTAACTTACAGTAGTGAGTATACAGTGGGGAAAACAAGTATTTAGTCAGCCACCAATTGTGCAAGTTCTCCCACTTAAAAAGATGAGAGAGGCCTGTAATTTTCATCATAGGTACACATCAACTATGACAGACAAATTGAGAATTTTTTTCTCCAGAAAATCACATTGTAGGATTTTTTATGAATTTATTTGCAAATTATGGTGGAAAATAAGTATTTGGTCACCTACAAACAAGTAAGATTTCTGGCTCTCACAGAACTGTAACTTCTTCTTTAAGAGGCTCCTCTGTACTCCACTCGTTACCTGTATTAATGGCACCTGTTTGAACTTGTTATCAGTGTAAAAGACACCTGTCCACAACCTCAAACAGTCACACTCCAAACTCCACTATGGCCAAGACCAAAGAGCTGTCAAAGGACACCAGAAACAAAATTGTAGACCTGCACCAGGCTGGGAAGACTGAATCTGCAATAGGTAAGCAGCTTGGTTTGAAGAAATCAACTGTGGGAGCAATTATTAGGAAATGGAAGACATACAAGACCACTGATAATCTCCCTCGATCTGGGGCTCCACACAAGATCTCACCCCGTGGGGTCAAAATGATCACAAGAACGGTGAGCAAAAATCCCAGAACCACACGGGGGGACCTAGTGAATGACCTGCAGAGAGCTGGGACCAAAGTAACAAAGCCTACCATCAGTAACACACTACGCCGCCAGGGACTCAAATCCTGCAGTGCGAGACGTGTCCCCCTGCTTAAGCCAGTACATGTCCAGGCCCGTCTGAAGTTTGCTAGAGTGCATTTGGATGATCCAGAAGAGGATTGGGAGAATGTCATATGGTCAGATGAAACCAAAATAGAACTTTTTGGTAAAAACTCAACTCGTCGTGTTTGGATGACAAAGAATGCTGAGTTGCATCCAAAGAACACCATACCTACTGTGAAGCATGGGGGTGGAAACATCATGCTTTGGGGCTGTTTTTCTGCAAAGGGACCAGGACGACTGATCCATGTAAAGGAAAGAATGAATGGGGCCATGTATCGTGAGATTTTGAGTGAAAACCTCCTTCCATCAGCAAGGAGATTGAAGATTAAACGTGGCTGGGTCTTTCAGCATGACAATGATCCCAAACACACCGCCCGGGCAACGAAGGAGTGGCTTCGTAAGAAGCATTTCAAGGTCCTGGAGTGGCCTAGCCAGTCTCCAGATCTCAACCCCATAGAAAATCTTTGGAGGGAGTTGAAAGTCCGTGTTGCCCAGCGACAGCCCCAAAACATCACTGCTCTAGAGGAGATCTGCATGGAGGAATGGGCCAAAATACCAGCAACAGTGTGTGAAAACCTTGTGAAGACTTACAGAAAACGTTTGTCATTGCCAACAAAGGGTATATAACAAAGTATAGAGAAACTTTTGTTATTGACCAAATACTTATTTTCCACCATAATTTGCAAATAAATTCATTAAAAATCCTACAATGTGATTTTTTTCCCCTCATTTTGTCTGTCATAGTTGACGTGTACCTATGATGAAAATTACAGGCCTCTCTCATCTTTTTATGTGGGAGAACTTGCACAATTGGTGGCTGACTAAATACTTTTTTCCCCCACTGTATCTATAGATTTAATATAGACCAGTTACAAGGGTGTGGGCTTCTGTATTCTGAAACAAGACGTGCATGTTGTGTTATGACCTAATTAAATAATGCAGTTCATTCTGTTGCATTTTGTATGAAATGTGCCTTTACTATAGTACTAAAGTACCATACCTATAGAAGGATAATAAAAACACACGATCAACTGTTTGCAAGTACGACAACGACATGCCTGATCTCTCACTTCCAGTCGGTTGAATTAATAATGAAATGTGCCACCAATCTTACTATCAGAGCCCATGTTGGTGTGGTCGGTGTAGGGACCCCCAGCAGCCTGTGTCACTCTCCCCCAGCCATTTTCCGAGCTATTCTCCACACTCCGAGAGCAGCGACTCATCCCACACACATCTTTATCGGAAAAGCTGCAATATTCCTTAAATGCAACAGATGCATCTACAAGGTGAAAACAAAAATGCAAGTTTAACCATCTGTGGTCAATGTCCATTTAAGCCCTGAACAATGTGATGATCATACTGTATGTGCAGAGGTATGACCTTAGAAATTACTCTGAAGTGGTTTGACAAGGGATTTGACAAAGTCCATGTATACTCAGTCAATTAGGTAAATGATGCAACAAGATCTGTGTTTTGGAATACCATAAGGTTTATGCTTTGTATGTCCTCAAACGCGTAATACACTACACTTGAAAATGTCCCATGGTTATTGTTCATACATTTTGCTGTCCCCCACGATGAAATCAGAGAGGGTACTGTGGATCTGTATCTGTCCATTAGTCACACGCGATATGATGGCACAGGCCCAATTTTAGCAAAACTTGGGTGAATGATGAGTCTTGCCATATGGACAAAAATTACACTGATGGCCAGATGGTGGCGCTATAAAAAGCGATTGAAAATGCAAACTTTCAAAGGTCACGCCCCTCACCCCGTTTGGCACATAGGTCCCTCTTCTCACAAGGAACGCATTCGCCTCAGGGACCCATAAGGTCCGCCATTATGGATTTTCCGCCATTTTGAATTTGTGAAAAACACAACACTACTTTTTTGGCACTGAATGATCGATCTGCACAAAACTTCATATGGCATCTATGGACAAAGGTCTCAATGCAACATTTTAGACTAGTACCTAAAACATTGTCACAAATGCATATGAAATCAGTCAAGGATATTCGTATTGTAACAAAATTTGGTACACATTGCAAACACTCAAGACTCAACATATGCAACAACATTCATAGAGACCTCACGTGGCACTATAAAAATGTGCTAGTGATATCTCTTGATCTGTTTGACTGATTAAATTTGACACATGCTCAGTGATTTAAGTCTAGCTAACCCACACAATATCGCAGACTCCACTGGCACTGATTGGCCCAAGGTGGGCGCTGCATCATTTGTGGAGGACGACATGTTTACTGTTGTTTGAGGTTAGGGTTAGAGGTAGGAAATCTAAACACCATACTCTTATTGTAAAGTGTTGGTATTATCAACAGACATTCCAACAGTGCTATTGTCAAGCCCTGACATAGAGATCTCTAGTTGGTTTGGTCAGGGTGTGAATATCTATGTGTAGATCTATGTTGGCCGGGTGTGGTTCCCAATCAGAGGCAGCTGTCGATCGTTGTCTCTGATTGGGGATCATACTTAGGCAGCCATGTTGCCTACCTTTGTTGTGGGATCTTGTTTCTGGTTTGGCTTGTTTATGTGTAGCCCATTAGAACTTCTCGTTACTTTTGTTGTTTTGTCGTGTGTTTACTTCTTAATTAAACATGTACGCATACCACACTGCACCTTGGTCCAATCCTTTACTCAACGAATGTGCCAGCTATCCAACACTTACTGCAACTGTACATCCGGTTTAGCTTCAAGACATCGTTTGAGCTCATTTCCAGCCTTTGGCCAATCACATCCTGGAACTCTGGTTACTTAGTGATGATAGTGATGAGTCCGGGAACTTTCCCGAAGTCATCTTTGCCGTAGTACATCAACGAGGTGTAATCATACTGCGTACCCAGGGTGGTGATTTCATTCTCACTGTAGTTCTTAAAGTTTTCTTGTGTTCCTGAATGCAAAAAATATTACATGCATTACATTTGTATGTTCTCAGTGCACAAAATAAAATAATTTAACAAAGGAATCTTAAAATGTATAACCATATCATGACAATAGCAATCAAAGTCTAGGAGGAAGGGTAGGCCAGCTGGTAGAGATGTTTTAAGCAATGATATAGATAAAGATATACATACACAGGATGACTGATAGGGGCAGTGTGTTGAAACCACCGTGCCTCCATCTTGGCACTCCCTCACATTGTAAAAAATATTTTGGAAGCTATAGAAATGCAATTATTAATGTCTACATTCGTTTTTGCCACATTTATTATATTACAGACACCTTATTGCATACTTTGAAATTATATTGTGACCAAAACATTGAAAAAAATATAAAAACATTTCTCTTAGTATTTTATTTATTTATTACCAATGTTAGTACCCACTGCAAAAAAAAGAAGGTATAAGTGTAATTTTGTCCTTGAAACATTTAATTCAAATACTGTAGCATTCCATTCATTCCTATAGAGGATTGCTCCAATGGGGAGGGCCAATATGGCCGACCAGTGGCTTCAAAGTCTCTCAATGGCCAATACATAGCGTCAGCAATCCTGGATTTATATACACATTGGTTTTTAGGCCTGCTTTAAATGCCCCAACAATTGAAACATTGAATTCAGAGGTGGTGGTAGTGGATTAATTCGAACTGTTTGTTACAAAATGCCCCTCTCTCCTTTAATATGTCTATTCATACTGCCCACACAGCACACATTTTGATCTAAAGCTTGTAGATACATGAACAATCCCAAAGTAATGTTATAATGTGAGAACTAGAACAATTATTAAATAATGTTTGTATGATTGGGAAAAACAATGAGTCAAACCTTCTAGGATGTTTTCATAGACAATGGTCACATAGTCATCTCTGTCATATCTGGACTGCTCATGATAGAAGCCCAGAGCATGTAGAAGCTCATGTTCCACAATGGCGACAATACCACAGTACTCTCCAATGTTAACAACCTGTCCATTTGCAAAAGTTCTCCCTACATAGGAGGAGCACCTACCGGGGATAGACATGTTAACACAAAACACATACAATGTAATTAATTGTTGATTTTGAAAAATATCTACCAAATGTTCCACCAGTACATGTCTTACCCTGTATGTTTCTCAATTGTTAGGTAGTATATCTCAGAGTGTCTGGGCTTGAAGTCCATGCATGTTCTCAGCCTGAACTGGTCAAAGGCTCGCAGAATGATGCCTTTAGTATTCATATCTGTGCAAATGGAAAATACAGTGACAACATTAGAAAGATCAGTAATGTGATACAAAATAAATATCATACAGCTGGGAACTGGACTTGAACACGTGACGCTCTGCTTATAGCATAAATGCTATAGTGGTTTGATATTTCTTACAAGATGAAAATCAGGATTCCACGTCTTTACTCACCAAGACTAGAGTGTAAAACATAGGGAACTGGAGACTGCCAGCGTTTGTTTCCCCCCAGAATGCCATTCCTCTGAAAGTTCTGGAACATTACAGTTTGGTTAACCCATATACCTCAGATAGGGTTAATGTAAAACATATAATTTAAACCATTGCTGTACCCACCTCCATTATGTCACCTTCACGTAAATGTAAGTCTGAAAATAACCGATATGGGTTAATAAGTAATATGTAAATAAAATATTAAGTGACTTTCTATAAATCTGTATTTTTTACAACACAACTGACAAATGTGTATTATTCATGCAATATGTATTGTGTAATTAACACTTTACATATGTTTATGTAAGCTTGACCTTTGTTTATTTTGTCAATGCCCAACTCATCTTCGATGTCTTGAAAAGGAAAAATAAATCAAGTCAACAATATTAATGGTAAGCAACCATATACATAAACACCTGCTACAGCATAAGTATGTTCACATCTAAAAATAAATCAATAAAACTCAGGTCCATATACTGTAGCCAGTTCATTTTATTTTCATTTAGAATATCCAGACCTACCTGTGGCCTTGGGAACAGCCTGAGGAGAATGAGAGATAATATATTTTAAGATAAGAAATTATCAAAAACGTAATTCTAAAAATGTCTTCTTTTGATTTTCTGTTTCGCATAACTTACAGTGGGGAAAAAAAGTATTTAGTCAGCCACCAATTGTGCAAGTTCTCCCACTTAAAAAGATGAGAGAGGACTGTAATTTTCATCATAGGTACACGTCAACTATGACAGACGAAATGAGAAAAAAAATCAAGAAAATCACATTGTAGGATTTTTTATGAATTTATTAGCAAATATGGTGGAAAATAAGTATTTGGTCAATAACAAAAGTTTCTCAATACTTTGTTATATACCCTTTGTTGGCAATGACACAGGTCAAATGTTTTCTGTAAGTCTTCACAAAGTTTTCACACACTGTTGCTGGTATTTTGGCCCATTCCTCCATGCAGATCTCCTCTAGAGCAGTGATGTTTTGGGGCTGTCGCTGGGCAACAAGGACTTTCAACTCCCTCCAAAGATTTTCTATGGGGTTGAGATCTGGAGACTGGCTAGGCCACTCCAGGACCTTGAAATGCTTCTTACGAAGCCACTCCTTTGTTGCCCGGGCGGTGTGTTTGGGATCATTGTCATGCTGAAAGACCCAGCCACGTTTCATCTTCAATGCCCTTGCTGATGGAAGGAGGTTTTCACTCAAAATCTCACGATACATGGCCCCATTCATTCTTTCCTTTACACAGATCAGTCGTCCTGGTCCCTTTGCAGAAAAACAGCCCCAAAGCATGAGGTTTCCACTCCCATGCTTCACAGTAGGTATGGTGTTCTTTGGATGCAACTCAGCATTCTTTGTCCTCCAAACACGACGAGTTGAGTTTTTACCAAAAAGTTCTATTTTGGTTTCATCTGACCATATGACATTCTCCCAATCCTCTTCTGGATCATCCAAATGCACTCTAGCAAACTTCAGACGGGCCTGGACATGCACTGGCTTAAGCAGGGGGACACGTCTGGCACTGCAGGATTTGAGTGGCTTTGTTACTTTGGTCCCAGCTCTCTGCAGGTCATTCACTAGGTCCCCCCGTGTGGATCTGGGATTTTTGCTCACCGTTCTTGTGATCATTTTGACCCCACGGGGTGAGATCTTGTGTGGAGCCCCAGATCGAGGGAGATTATCAGTGGTCTTGTATGTCTTCCATTTCCTAATAATTGCTCCCACAGTTGATTTCTTCAAACCAAGCTGCTTACCTATTGCAGATTCAGTCTTCCCAGCCTGGTGCAGGTCTACAATTTTGTTTCTGGTGTCCTTTGACAGCTCTTTGGTCTTGGCAATAGTGGAGTTTGAAGTGTGACTGTTTGAGGTTGTGGACAGGTGTCTTTTATACTGATAACAAGTTCAAACAGGTGCCATTAATACAGGTAACGAGTGGAGGACAGAGGAGCCTCTTAAAGAAGAAGTTACAGGTCTGTGAGAGCCAGAAATCTTGCTTGTTTGTAGGTGACCAAATACTTATTTTCCACCATAATTTGCAAATAAATTCATTAAAAATCCTACAATGTGATTTACTGGATTTTTTTTCACAATTTGTCTGTCATAGTTGACGTGTACCTATGATGAACATTACAGGCCTCTCTCATATTTTTAAGTGGGAGAACTTGCACAATTGGTGGCTGACTAAATACTTTTTTCCCCCACTGTACATGATTATTTTCTCACAATACAAATTATGTTCTATCAAATTAAACATTGTTCTTTTAACATATTGAGCTACAGAGATAAATGAGTGTAAGCCTAATCATGTTTTTAAAGTTTCCTTTACTTACCCCAGCCAAAACTTGTGAGACAGCTAAGCTCACAACAAGACAGGCGTGGATACACATTCTCTCTGGATATCCTTTCCAGGGTCAAAGTCACTAGCAGTAACAAATCAGATCATAATTGGAAAACACCAAAAAAGAACCCATTATATGTGTTTCAATTCACATCACCTCTACCGGAGTAAGAGCCTGAGCAAATGAGACTATGATGATTGATTTACAGGTTGTATACAGTGAAATGTCCCTATACATTCCTTAGCATGATTTTATCTTATTAAATTAACTTATGCATTGTTAAGGCTGCATAATAGTAAATAGACTTAATATGCCAAGTAAAAAACAAAATCAGTATAACAGACAATTACACTTTACATGGCGGAAATATAATTTGAAAATACCATAGGAAAAATAAAATGTTCAAATCATTCACACATGAACATTGTAATACCTGTTAGCATTCTTAAAACACCAGTTGAACTCTCCAACAACTGCCCTAAGAAAGTGAACTTATTCAAACCACTTTCATACCGACATTTCCTCAATCCAGAATCTTCTTCCTCATCCACCAAATCCTCTCAAAACTGGTTTGATGCATTAATTTACAAGTATGCAGCTAGGCTCATGTTCTCATCATAACATATTTCAGGATTTGATTAAAAATTGCTGCTTTGCCGCAAGCTTTGTTGGGTGACCAAGGCATAGGAGAGCTACTACAATAATGCGCAATTTGCGGCCATTTTGCTGACGCAGGCGGCGACTCCACTTCGGTGGGCCGCAAAATTGTTTGGGACAGCTGGGACACTTTTTATGGCTATGAACCCAGCTTGAACCGTCAGGAATTCGCACTTTAGTTGATGCAATCCACTGTCTGAGCAGATGAACATGATCTGTGACTGAGAGCTGCCTTTATCCAGGTGGCAGCTCGTTAGTCCAATCAATGCTAGTCAGGTGTGCTGGGCCTGGATCCAACTCGAGCAGCCAATTGACCCACTCATTCCTACATTCACTCCACAAGACAAAGGCTGCATTTCAAACTCACAAAAGACACCCTCCTCCACTTACCCTCGCCTTATGCCCTTGAGGGAATCCCCGCGGCCATCTTTGCCGTCGGTCCAAACGATTAGCCAACCAAGGAAGTTGGCAACTAAAGCCCGTCGGCCCTCGTTTGTGAGCGGGTTTGCGAGTGTACAATTCTGTTCACTCTGGGGCCTGAAATGCCCCATAATTCAATTTGCGATGATTGTACATTCGCTAAGAAAAGTCTGCCAAAACTTTAAACCAACATCAATATGGAGAAGTCAACATACAAGTGTAAGTAAACATGAATGTAAATACATTAGAAATTGTGCTACTAATGCACATGATGGCACAAACACGTATCGTGAAAGTAATGATGGTTTTGTTTGGTTAGCTTTTGGAAACGTTAGCTAGCGAATACAACTTTCCCTGATATCACACTTATTCATTGTAATTTATACATTGTAAATTTCAAAAGCATGAAAAACTTGTCAAAGACGGGTAAAGTCATATAATTTGTGTTATTCTTTGTCAATAGTGTACAATGTACATTCTATGTTAATTTTAAAGCATTCTCCTGCACTGTAGAGTTAACCATATCAGTCCAGAGACTACTTTTCATTCATCATTTTTCTGCATGTCCAGCCCTTTATATTTAGCCTTACAATTAAGTGTTTTACCATTTTCTTTTCAGGACAACCAGGGCTACAAGTAGAACATAACATAATTTGACATAAACCGTTGCATTTATGAGTTCTATTGACCTTTGGGATGAATTGGAACACCGACTGCAAGCAGCAATGTTCCAACATCTAGTGGAAAGCCTTCCAAGAAGAGTGGAGGTTGTTATAGCAGCAAAGGGGGAAGCAACTCCATATTAATGCCCATGATTATGGAATGAGATGTTCGACGAGCAGGTGTCCACATACTTTTGGTCATGTAGTGTAGCATATTATCCTGGGCCACTGATTGGATTGGAATTACTGTACTCACTCCAACTCATGCGCTCTCCACCCTCTAAAAGTCTTAGACACGTTAGTTTTTTAAAATAAAAGTCTATCCCCCTATTCCAAGGTGAGTCTGCTGGATCATGGAAATCTAGAGCATCTATCAGCAGACAGTACCCTGAGGAAGGATGTAACTATCAAGGCTTTAAATTGTCAGATTTGGGGGATGACCACCCAATGCAATAAAGTTTTGTATAAACTACTCATGTCAATTTTGTAATAGGTTACAAAACAATAACTTTTTCTTAGGCTGTTCTTCTCATTTTACTAACTACTATGGCAACTTAAACATCTGACAACACTTACAGATTATGATTCAAAAAGGTCTCAAATCAATGCAAGTCTAATATCCAGGGTGAATACATTTTTATTCATGTATATAAGACACACAGGTGTGCCAACTAAAATAGATATCCAAGACAAGACTGAAGAATCGGACAAATAGGCAGCGTTTTGACAGGCAGCCCAGGTCTGATCTTTCTTTTACTAATTGGTCTTTTGACCAATCAGATCACCTCTGAAAAAGATCTGATATGAAAAGATTGTGATTGTTCAAAATACCAATTAGTGGAAAAAAATATCAGAATTGGGCTGCCTGTCTAAACGCAGCCAGAGTATTCAGACCTCTTGACCTTTTTCACATTTTGTTATGTTACAGCCTTATTCTAAAATGTATGTAAAAAATAATAATTAATAATCAATCTGCACAATACTGCATAATGACAAAGCGAAAACAGGTTTTCATACATTTTTGCAAATGTATTAAAAATAAAAAACTGAAATACCTTATTTACAGTGGGGAAAAAAAGTATTTAGTCAGCCACCAATTGTCCAAGTTCTCCCACTTAAAAAGATGAGAGGCCTGTAATTTTCATCATAGGTACATGTCAACTATGACAGACAAAATGAGAAAAGAAAATCCAGAAAATCACATTGTAGGATTTTTAATGATTTTATTTGCAAATTATGGTGGAAAATAAGTATTTGGTCAATAACAAAAGT